CTCTCTCTCACACACACACACTCCCCCTCACAGACACACACACTGAGACACACTCACATGCACACACACACTCTCACATGCACATGAGGGATCCACATCTCCTGTGCAGAGCTGCCTGCCCACCTGCCCGCCTGGTGGCTGGGTAAGGCCCACAGCAGCGAGGAGCACCCCCTGCCCCCCAAGGCCAGGGTGGAGGGGGCCAGGGGCTGTGCTTACTTCGCCTTCTCGGTTCACTTTCCACACGTGCTGGAGAACCGGGGGCTGGTACCTGCAGCTGGTCTGGTCTAAGTAGGTCTGGATCACCTGTGGGGACAGTAGCGGCTGGGCACCCAGGGCTGGGGCCTGTGGACTGCCTCCGGCCGCTCCTCCCACTCCCCCAGGGCCAGGAGGGGAGAAAGTCAAGGACGGGACTCCTCTGGGCACCCCAGCAGCAGCGAGCCCAGCCCACCTTGTACTCCGGGGCCCCGCCGTCCAGTAGCTGCAGGTGGCACTTGAGCAGCTCGTAGTCTCGGTCCAGCGGGTGTGGCACCTCCTTCACCTCTCGCTCCTCCTCGGGCATGGCCTGCAGGGTCTGGGCCAGCTCGATGTCTGCCAGCACCTGAGAGGGCGGGCATGGGGAGCGGGACGGGAAGCGGAGAGGAAGTGGCCACTGGGGGGCTGCGGAAGGGAAGAGACAGTTGGTGGGGGGGGGGCGGGGCACTTGTCCAGTCCATTCCCTGGCTGGTGCTCTGCCACCCTGCCTCTCTCTGCCTATCCACCTACCTCCCTTTGTCTTGCCCACTGTCGTCCACCCACCTGAGTCTGCTGGGCTTTGGCCCCCCAGCTCCAGACCCAGGCTGTTGCCCACCGCCCGTTGCCTGCCACCTGCCGCCCTCACCAGCAGCATGTCCTTCTTGGCCTGCAGCAGCTCAGGAGAGTTGATGGGCGGCGGCCGGGCACGGCCGAAGTTGTGAGGGATGACAGTGTAGAAGTGGGAGGACAACTCCTCCAAGCTGGGGCCGCCCGGCGCCGGGCCCTTCAGGGCCTCCTCCAAGGCCTCCAGGGCCTCAAAGCCCCGAGCGATCTGCTGCTTACTCAGCTTCCCCAGGGGCATCTTCTTCACGTCTGGAGAGGGCGCCAGGAGAGGGGCGCCTCAGCCCAGCTGCCCGCTGCCTGCCAGCCCTGCCTGCACAAGCCCCTGCCGCTCTGCAGGCCACTCACCTAAGTTCATGTGGGCCATCGCGTCCTTGAACATGTCCTTGCTGAAGATGTTGGAGATGAGCTTCTGTGTGGCCGGTTCCAGGGAGCAGGGCCGCAAGCGCTGGACCACCGTTGCAGCTGCGGGGCCTCCATCCACCTAGGGCAGAAGGTGCGAGCCTGGGAGAGCCAGGCAGGGCCCGAGGCCAGATCTGGAGGCTGTGCCCGGACTGCACAGCAGGTGGGGTCTCCCACAGCCCCCCTCTCTTGACCCAGGCCGCCCACTGTCCCTGGCCACTGTACCTTCACCACGGCCTCCTGGGCCTCGTGTTCTCTCTGCACTTCGATCAGGGTGTACTTGCCGGGATGGGCCACGAAGTGGTCTCGCTCTGCCCAGCTGTTCTTGGTCTTGTCCCGGAACTTCTTCTCGAAGTCTTTCCTGGCTGCCTCCAGGGAAGGGAAGTGGCTGAGCTTCGACTGACCCACCTCTCCCTGCAAGGGACAGCCTTCAGGACGCGCTTGCAGCAGAGCCCTGCCCCCCACACCCACAAATCTGCTGGCCTGGGTGCAGGGCCAGGCCTTGTGTCTGGGAGACTGAGGGGGGCGGGGGCAGAGCTGGGGGGTAGGGTGGGTAGCCTGCAGCTGCTGACCCCCCCAGGGCGCAGGGAGTGGGTGTAGGGCCAGTGGCACTCACTACTCGGCCCCAGCGGTTCCAGCAGGCGAAGCGGCCACCCTCTTGCAGCAGCTGGATGATGTAGAATTTGTTGTTGTTGCTCCCGATGTTGGTCTGGTTCAGGGTACAGTCATAGTCCTCGTGCACCTGTGGTGAGGCTGGGGTGTGTGTGCGTACCGGACGGCAGGGCTCCCAGACACCCCGAGAGGGGGCTGGTGGGGAACGACGTCGGACTGCAGGGGAGGGGTCAGAAGAGGCTCTCTGATAGGACTTGAGGGGGTCAGGGTTTTGCCCTGTGGGACATAAGTCTGAGGGGATGTGGAAAAAATCAGGGCCACACCCTCCTGGCAGGGGGCTCTAGGAGGGCATGGCTGCCCCCTCCTTCTGAGTAGGGGCATGTGAACCTGTCTTGGGAGGAATCTGAGAGGGAATTGGCTTGACGGGACATGGGCGAGCCAGGGGTGAGAGGCTGAGAGGCAGAGCCCCGATTTAAGAGTGGTGGTGGGGAGACCTGGGAAGCTCAGGGGCCTGCCCTGGGATCCTACAGCCTTTGACTCCAAAGGTCTGTCTGGAGTCTTCTTGCAGTTTGCTTTCCAGACTTGAGCTACTTTGGCCAGAGAGAGCCGGGTCCCAAGGAGGAAGGGGGCAGGCATGGTACTCTGTGAGCGGGCAGGGCAGGTTGTGGGCTCTCCCCGCAGGTCTGCTTGGAGGCTGCAGGCTCACCTGGGTCTCCGGCTGGTGGCTGAGTGGGCACAGAGGGTCCACGCGGACTCTGCGCGCCTCTGCAGGTGCGGCCTTCAGGGCCTCGGCGGCGGAGCGGTAGCTGTCCTCCTCCTTTGTCCCCTGCTGCCCCTTCTTCTTCTGGGGACCCTCACTCTGCACCGAGGCCTTGCGTTTAGGAGCCATGCTGCCCAGGGGTCAAGAGAGCGCCCTCAGACCTCAGGGCCTGCACAGCCCCGCCTGCAGTAGAGCCTCTGCTTGC